AACGCTTTCGACCTCACAGCACGAAGGGCCAACGCTTCGTCGTCGTAAACGTAATATCGTCTTTTCACCTTCGTTAAATAGAACCACTTGTCGTCAACATGCACGTAATTGTGCATGTCGACGAAGAGAATGGTTCCATCTCGCGAAGGCTTCAAGAACGACATCGCAAACTCGATCCTTGCAGTCGTTGATCGGCAGTAAATGTAAAAATGAATCACTAGCGGGTCAAACTCCCACCGACCACTGACACCCGCCAACTTTGGCGGGTCATTATTTTTGATACAAAACGCTTTGGATGACGCAAATGGCATCCAATCAAAGAGGAGATGTTGCGCTTTCTGATGGACCAATAAAATCGACGAAACTCGTATTATTAGAAAAATTCCGCCAATCCAAAGTCAAATGTGACAAACATACCGGACCAGAGTAGTATTAGGGGGAGTCAATATAGGATTTCTGGTTTTGCTTTTGCTTTTCGTTCACTTTGAAAAGGAAATTTTATTCAACCGTATTTTAATTGCTCAAAACGAAAAGCTGAGGAGAGTCAATATAGGCCAACGATCTCTTGTGCATGTGCCATCCGTATCCGTATATTTGCATTGGTAAAAATGCCACAGCTCTCAGAGCGCGCGGCCGTCCTTGCCGACTTGGACAGCATGGTACGGACAATTGCAACATGCAATACTTGTGCTTCACATGCGGTTAAGAAAGACATTGATGTCCTACTTCGACTGCGATACACTATTCTATCTTCGCGATACATGTTTGCACGTGGGTCGACTTTCGATTCTGCCCTTCATGGATGTTGGCGACTTTGTTCAGGAGGTCCGTGTTTGTCAGACTACATTTGCATATATGGTTGACTTGATTGAGGGGAACAATGTCTTTCAACCGACCAGTAACCGAGCTCAGAGACCTGTGTGGGTCCAGCTTGCATGTGCATTGCATCGGCTTGGCCACAACGGCACTGGTTCGTCGGCTGGGATGGTGTCACGTGCAAAAGGAATTGGAATGGGAACTGTGCATTTGTACACTCAGCGTGTTATATATGCTCTTCTCTTTTTAT